TACTCTTGTTGTGTACTGCCATGTTGTCTTGGGACTTCGTTGTAAATGCGCTGCAACTTACGACATTCCATAGCTCAATGAATCACAGCTGATTTTATGTGTGTTTTTTGCATCTATGCAGTGCAAAAAGGCATATAATGTCGAGGGGACGTCTGTGTATGTATGTGTCTGTGTGTGGGTTTGCACCGACTTTTCATCTCGAGATCTACAAAAGCTATAGGGCTGGAACTTTGACTTTGGAAACTTAATCTATACGCATGTACGGCCCTTATCCTCGAAGCGGACTCCTGCCCATGCGGTTCCAACAATACAGGTCCGTGACAATTTTTGACTGGTAAGTTGCTAATTCGGGAACCAAAAAAAGCTAAAAAGCTGAAAACTTAGGGGGATGTTTCCCCGTTTGCACAGAACTTAATGACTTCCAGCCCCCAGGCATGTGTGGTCCTCACATACTGGTCCGCGCAAAGTTTTGGCGGGAAAGTTGTAAATCGAGAACCAGAGAAGCAAGAAAGTAGAAATTTTAAAGGGACGTTTTCTGACAGTCCTGGTGGCCAATCTCAATTCTTTTAGAGAGACGCATTAAGTGGTAAAAAACAGTGTCGCTAGTGACAAAAACCTGCGGGGAACTGTGTAAAAAACGCATCTTCACACCGGCAGTCGGTGCGCTAGCCAATAATTTTCCTGAGAAATCCCATGTTTCACTTCTACAGAGCAGAACTGATAGCACAAACAAACCGAAACGTGCCGTTTCCACAGCCAATGATAACAAAAGTATTGCAAGAAACGTCTCGTAACTAAATCCCGCAATTTTAAATATCTTTGCCCACACCCAACACAAAACATATTCATCTAATGTAACCGTACCATCATTCTCTTTCTCGTTGTAGCATTCGCATTTTCCCACCGATGTTGCTTCATCCAAATACCAACGTTGTAAAAGTTTTACAAGCAAACATTTTGTTTGGTGCTATTTCTAACATTTCAAAATTCATAGAAAAAATGAAGCTTACAAGAACAGCTTTTGTCGAAGCATTGCTGCGAAGAATGATTTTGTGCAGTTCGAAGAACTGCTGCCAAAAATCGAGTACTGCAATAAAATAACGATGCGTGTGAATATATGCGATACTCATCGACTGTGGAACACGAACCACAACACCCACATCATAGCCCCTAGTCACCGCTGACTTTTCGCTCAAACACCTAAAAAAGCATGTTATACGATTATGAAAATCCTGAAAGTATTCCAGGCGTCATGGACTTTTAAAATTTGGTTTCCCACTTTCTCAGCTTTGAAACGGCGTCTTAGGCAAAAATGAGATAACACAAACTTCCAATAATCTTATTTTTTGGTGGCAATTAAAAAGCAGAAATCCCTTTCCCATATTTTACCTTCTTTAAGAAACGGAGGTGATCGGGAGTACCTCAAGTGGTTGCACACTATCTACGGCAGTTAACCAAACGGCTTTCTAAAATTTGCTCAAAAGTGAACTAATGACGGTGCCAATTTCCTGATGTCAGCCAACACCGACGTGCTACGAAAAAAAACAGACCTACAGAGGGGGAGTTGGTCTATCCACAACAACCGAACTGTAAAATCAGCTTATACCTAAGTAAAACGCTGCTTTCCATTGCATTAAGTTCACCAGCTTGATGAGGATAAAAAATGCAGACAAAAGTGTTATTTGGCCAAAGAAAAACAGAGTTCCAGGTCTTTCGGAAAATGAAAATATTCAGGCATTCCGTCGCATGAAACAGAATCTCGTCTTCTACTAAAAAAAAAGAGCGTGCACTAGTGCGTGGATCTTACTTCGTAATCTGGATTGTGGCTTTTGATGCCTCTTCATTGAGAGGACTCGAATCTTTTCCCGCCGCTTTTTCGCTTCGTAAATTTGGTTGTTGCAAGCTAATTCGTTCGTTATACAATTCCGAATAGAACGGCGTGTTGTCAGAACAGAAGCAGGCGCCCAGTGAGAGCAGTACTTCCAGTGGCACTTCCTCATTGTTCACACTTGCCTTGAAATCAAAGAGCTTATTTGGCGTGCTCGCAGCATCTCAAAGTAGCTATTGCTGATGCAACAAGCAAATGTTGAGAAAAACTCAATTCGAAGAAAACGCTGGTGCTTTCTTTTCAAAAAAAAATAACAAAACGGTTTTATTTAGAAATATTTTCTGCATTTTGAAAGATGCTAAATTTTAACAAAATTAACTCTCACTGTCTGCTAAAGAAAAAATTTGTGTTGTTTTCCGCAATTTGAAGTTTTTGCCAAATAGTCCTTTATTTAAAAGTGGCAGCAGTCATGCTGGCATTTTCGAATATTTAAAAATGTGCAAGAATCGAGTGTAATGCAGAACAGCAAAATCGTGGAAATTAGCCAGGGATAAACAAATTCTAGGAACTCACTTGTATAACCGTCGAAAGCTCCTCCACTCTGATTACGCCCAAATAAGATTTATTTGTTGGGTAATTCATTCGCAGTGCCACCGAACCTGCTTCAATCTCAATTTTCAAATTATGTGTGTCTGCCATAGCCACGGCGCTTCGTTCGACAGGCTCTAAAAAGTTCAAAACCCAAGAATAGTAACCACGGTGTCGCCGGACTGCTGTCTACTTATGAAATACGAAATTAACACCATTGCCCTAATTAGTGAGAACCATAAGAGTTAGAAACCCATGACTTGTACCCAGCTGAAAACAAGTGGAATGAGGAAATTCACATAAACTTATATTCCTCTTTGCTCCTCTATGTCCTCTTCATCTTTTCCATTTTACATCAAGACCGCTGGGGCTATCAATACAGATATACTTCTAAATAAGAGACAATAAGCAGACTGGACGGCAACTGCATAGCAAAACAATTCTTTCTGGCTGTTAAGTAATGTTCTTTCGGCAAAGTGCCGACTAATCGAGTGGTAGAACTTATGAAGTGGTTATTAATCCTATCGTTATCGGAATCCCTTTCACTTTTCATTTGGAGAACTGCACACATTGACAAGTACTGAAGAAATCTGCTGTATGGCGCCGCAAATCACAGGTGCAGGAACATCGGTATGTGATGCGAACAAATTTGCGTAAAATTTCCTACAATTGTTCGCCAAATCTGCTCGGCCCGTTATCCGACATCCATTTCTAACCATCAGAGTTACCATCATGGGATGATACAGCAACAGTTCTCTCGCAATCCTCTTCAGGCTCTGCTTTTTCGAGTCGTCTCGTCCGTCTGTCGACGACTGCGGCTTTTGAGAACTTCCTTCAGCATCCCTCTAATGCGCCTGTAGAAGACACAGTACTTCACATTTTGACTTTTCTGCCTTTTCCTGTTTCTTCTCTTCACTAACAGAATTTTCGTGAGAAAATCGTCGAAGTCAAAATTGAGTTCACTCGGCTTTTTCACGCACTCACAAAAGTTATCAATAGACATTTGTAGTCTTATTCAATATTGCCCATCACGGTC